AATCTCGCGAAACGAAATGGTTTCGTTTCGAAAAATAGTTTTAGCAATGGGAAATTGAGTCTTGATCCTGAGGTTGATCAATTGAGTGGTGATGGTGATGATGATGATGAAATTGATACTGAGGGAAGTAAAATGGGGTTTGATTACGGAAGATTCGAGCTTTACGAAGTGGGTTCCGACGATGAGGTGGAGGAATATTCCAACGGAGAAGAAGGCGGCGTAAAGGTGTTTGGTGGTGAAGGAGAAGAAGATGATGATGAAGAAGATGAGGATGGTGAGGAGATTAAAGAAAAGGAGAAAGGGGTGCCAGCTGTCATGAGATGTTTCGATAGGGCGAAAATATTCGTGAAATCGGGGGACGGTGGGAACGGGGTCGTAGCTTTCCGACGCGAGAAGTTCGTGCCGTATGGGGGGCCGTCGGGGGGTGACGGTGGGAGGGGGGGCAATGTGTACATGGAGGTGGACGGTACTATGAATTCGCTACTGCCCTTTAGGAAGAGCTTACATTATCGGGCAGGGAGAGGTTCCCACGGGCAGGGGCAGCAGAAGCACGGGGCGAAGGGGGAGAGTTGTGTGATTAAGGTTCCGCCCGGTACCGTTGTAAGGGAGAGCGATGGAGATGTGCTTCTCGAGCTTTTGTATCCCGGGCAGAAGGCGCTGCTTCTGCCCGGAGGGAGGGGCGGGCGGGGGAATACCTCTTTTAAGACGGGGGTCAATAAGGTGCCCAAGATTGCGGAAAACGGAGAAGAAGGGCCTGAATTGTGAGCAACTTTTTTTTTTGTCAAGAATCGTGTTCTTGATATATATGTTTATTATTACTTGTGCATAGTATGCTTGTTTATATGGGTTTGCTCTCTATTTGGGTTAGTGAATAGTATGTTTTTAAGCTACTTTCGGGTTCTATTTTTTTTCGGGTTAGAAGAAGGGCTTGAATTGTGAGTACTCCCTTTGAATCAAGTAGTGTGTAATTAACATTCATTACCATTTCCTTGATTTTGCACTCATCACTCTTGATTAGTTTAGGAGAGATTAGTTAATGGGAAGGGTATTTTGGTCAAATTCTATAAATTTGTTTTCTTGAAATCCGTGCATGCACATATATATTAGTTTTGTTGAAATCCGCGCACTAACCCAAAACGACGCTTATATTGAAAAAAAGGGAGTAACTTTTTATTTCAAGAACCGTGTTCTTGATATACGTTTATTGTTACTTCTGCGTAGCGTATGCTTCTCCTATTTGTTTGATGTGTTTGCTCCTTACTCGGGTTACTCGGGTTTTGTTAACAACTTGGTGGTACGTACATTGAGCAGATGGCTAGACTTAGAACTGAAATTGGTGGCAGATGTCGGGATCGTTGGAGCTCCAAATGCAGGGAAAAGCACACTTCTGAGTGTAGTTAGTTCTGCTCAGCCAACCATTGCTAATTATCCCTTCACCACTTTACTTCCTAATCTCGGTGTTGTCTCGTTCGACTTTGATGCTACAATGGTTGTTGCCGATTTGCCCGGTCTTCTAGAAGGTGCTCATCGAGGTTTCGGATTAGGGCACGAGTTTCTTCGCCACAGCGAGCGATGTTCCGTTTTGGTACTACTACCATCTACTCGTCTTGATTTTTTTAATTTTTTTTTTTTTATCTCGCCTCATATTAAAGAACAATTATATAATTTGAAAAAAAAAGAAGCTAATTTTAGAAATTTCGGAAAAATTAGGTGCACATAGTTGACGGTTCATCACAGCAGCCCGAGTACGAGTTTGACGCTATTCGTCTCGAGCTGGAGTTATTCAGCCCTGAACTTTCTGAAAAGCCTTACATAGTTGCATACAACAAAATGGATCTTCCGGAAGCTGCCGAGAAATGGCCCTCTTTCAAGAAG